AATTTCTGGTGTGAGCCCTACTGTTTTAGTATTTTCAACTTTTAGTTACATAGGCTTTGAGCATCCTTAAGCCACAAAATATACATTGATAAGAAAGACACTCATATTGTTTTTTGAAGTAACAAATTTGATTTCCAATGCAGAATACAGTTTACTGTTTTCTCATACTGACTATTTCACACCATTAGAAGACAGTTYGTGCTCTTCCAATTTATGCATAGACATATTTCTAGGTTATACTTTATTACTTATATCAATTCATTTGTTCTTTTCCTGATTCAAAAGACTCTAACTTATGATATTTCTAAAGAATGGCGAGAGATTTATCCACATTTTTTTCTTTATTTTACTCATTTCACTATTTAATGATAAATTATTTAACCATACAAAATCATGCAAACATACATCCCATACAAAAATAGCAATGCATTCTTTAAGACACAAAAGCATCTACATGAATGGAAGTTGACATATTTTTTTAAATCATGAATATTTGACAGTATAGAGTGCTTTATACCAAATGCAGTGCAGCCAAGCTGTACACATCAACCTGGGGCAACTTGTAGAGATGACATAATATTTCTCAAGTGACGCTGATAGGAAGCCCAMTGATGAATGATTGCCAAGCTTTTCATGGTAATTTGCTTGAACTAATGTAATTATAATTTCTATTATCAATATTTTTACTATTTAAGAAAGTTACTAACTCGGTATATACCGACCCAAACAGAATTCTTTTCAGAAAGAGTTCCCATAATGATCAACCAAGAATAATCTTGTCTACTTGATTACATGGAACATAAGAAATAAGAGGGTTGTAAGAATAAATATCATGAGATTTCATAACTTTAATGAGTTATAAGAGAAAATTTTATAATCCTAATTGCTAAATAAATTAAAATTTTTATTTGGAACTCAAAATGCTCCTCACCAAGTTGCCTAATGCCCCCTTTACATCCTTATTCCTCAGGGTGTAGATGAAGGGGTTGGCTGTAGGAGTCACCACTCCATAGAAGAGGGC